TTCGCGAACAACGAGCCGTTTTGACAGCCCTAAGTTTGTGTATAATTTTATAATGATACGTGGAAAATGAAAAGATACATGCATGAATAATACTTAATCGACCATGGATTGATACGTGAATGCAATTATTTCAAGCTCATGCGCAAAAGCGCACGCAACTTATGTGCATAAAGTCATGAATGCACATCCATGGATACATTAAACCAAGTCGATACAACAAAAGGTATGGGTATAAGTGTAATGTGTTGAACTACTCCATTTGTAATGAGTCATAAAATGAGCGATCAATATTGAGCATGATTGAGTGAAGTGATATCCAGCTGTATCATTGAACAAGCTAGCCATTAACGTAATCTATCCTATTAATTTTGAAAATAGAAGCGCATTACAATATAAAATTTATGATCAAGTTGTGAATAATGTATTGGGAGATGGCATGTGGCAGTATGTGGACCGAAATCTTGGCGCTAGACGTGGCATGTCATCGTTGGTCAAAATTGGTCACATGTGTGTGTCATATGACAAAAGACAAATGTTGTGGTGTTACCTTTACTAATGTGATGGCATTGTGAGGACAACAATGTGGTCTAAGTGGAATTTTGACAAGTCTATCAAGGGACCCACACAAAAACATTAGCATTGAAAATATGGAGAAAATTGAGTGTTATCAGTTTTTATTTATCATCAAGCATGCATATCGTAAGTGGAATTTTGACAACTCTATCAAGGGACCCACACAAATACATTAGCATTGAAAATATGGAGAAAATTGAGTATTATCAGTTTTTATTTATCATCAAGCATGCATATCATAGTATTTTGAGCAAAAAATGTTTCAAATTCAAATACAAGTTCATCCGAGCCTTGATTTCAACAAGTTTGTAGTCAAACGGAGTGTCTCAATACGACAAATTCAATGATCCAACCTAAGTTCAAATGAGCTTAGATCGATCACTTAAAGTATAGTTAAATGTTTTGGTGTATCAATTGGATGGTCTAATGATCTCAAGATTTGGCATGCTTATATTCAAATCAAATTTCTTGACGAAAGGAATCTAATGAGCCCGAGATCATTTAATTACAATGTTTTTAGGACACCAAAATGTTGAAAAAAAATTATGATCAAGATAATCAATGTAGATTGTCCCATAGGTGTTTGAGAGATCGACCAAATTTACCAAAATGCCCAGCTCAAAAACCATAAATAGGTGCTCATTCTTCACTTGAAATTGTGATGAAAAGAGAAGAGTGAGCTGACTTCTAAAATTGTACTCTTAAAATCCTAATGGTTGTTGTCGGTCGTTAGAGATCAAGGCCGACCACCATTGTTCATTGTCGACCACCAAACATCGCCATTAACCACTAGCCATTGTGGACCACCATCAACAAATACTTTCATCACCCTGCTGCTACTATTATATCCGCTTATAAATATGAATTTTGCTTCCAATTATAGGAGTCATAGCTTTCAACTTTAGCTATCATAGCCATCAACTATGACTTTTATAATCAATTATGACTTCTACAACTAACTATGATTGTTATAGCCCCACCACGACTAATATAGTTAGATTATAATAGTTATAATCTCTATTACAATTAACAGTGGTATACGTTGGTTATTTCAAAGCAGTTATAATTTCAACATCTTCTATTATCAACTTCTCTAATCAAGGTGAAAAAAGGACCTTTGTACTTTTAATTACATGGTGGGTTATTTAATATGGTCTAGGCCATGTATCTTTTCCACTTTCTAAGATTTTTCTACTAAAAATCTTGGTGTCTCCTCTCATGAATTTTCTTTTATCTATGTGTTGTATTCGATCTTTATGTAATGTGCTATGACGTTAAATTGTCAATATTGTTGCGAATTTTCTAGTATGCAACAACTATATAATATGTTTTACAAGTATTCTACTATTAAAAATATGGTACTCTTCTATCACATAGTTTTATATACCTATCTTTAAAGCTGTCTACAAATCATCTTTCTTAGTACACTCCAAATAATCCAAATAATGCTCTTTTTAAGTTTGAATTCTTTAAATTTTTATTTTCATGTTAGCAATTACTTAATATTCCACTCATTTTGCTCGTCTTACTATATTCATCTTTAGGCGATTATTCTCCAAACGTCAGCTCGATTGTCGGAACATGTTTAATAAATGCTAAGTTTTTGTCTTTGATGGTTAATATAAATGAGTAAATCCTATTTTCATCATCAACTATGACTAATAACAGTCATAAATTTGGGCTCAAGAGAATTATAAGTAGGGACAATTAGAAAATTAATTAAAGGTGGATATCTCAGGCTCTTAGCATTACAATGCCTACATTTGACTCAAATTTTTATCACAACCAATAGTTCTATATGTAACTCAAGCAATGTATTATCTTTTAATGTGGATGCAAATTGTAGTTATGTGCATAAATTACAAAAATAATGTAAATAAGTCAATTTTAAAAGTATATAACTAGGGTAAAGCAAAACAAATAATGATGAAATCATCTTCAAATAATCAACAAACCAACTCAAATTATAATCAAATTATGTTTGAAACATTTTATAATTGTGTTAAAATCATTAACAAATCATAATTGAATCATGATCTAATTATCTTCAAATTATGATCAAATTACATTTGAACTAAGTTTGATTATATTTCTTTTGATCTTAATTAAAAAAACTATTTGAAAGTGATTAAAAAATGGTTTTGGCAAGCTTTGAACATGAAATGTGATGTCTAAAGACATTTTAGATGAAATATTTAACAAATGAATAACATTTTTAAATATCAATAATTAAACGTATAATATCACTAATCTTGAATTTTAATAAGTAGTTAATAAATTTCACTATTTGACACGAATCTCAAGGCATTTTGGCATGAATCTAGAGGCATTTTTTGAATAAGAAACATTCATACTCATATTTAAAATCATCATAAATGTTGCTTTTAACAATCTTATAGTCAAACGGGCTAACTCGGTGAGATGAACACAATGATACCAAAATTAATCCAATTCGCAAAAAATTAGGCTCTAATCAAGCCATTAAATCACTTACAGAAGATTTGAGTGCTCAATTAGAATGTCAAATGAATTTTGAATCTGACAAGCTTATAGTCAAATAAAGAGTCTCAGGCCAATCCAACAAGCATAATATCACTAAATTTGAACATTATTAAGGTACTTAAATTAACTTAAAACACCATCAGAACAATGGAATGATTTTGGGCCATCTAATGAAGTGGTCTTGATTCCCGCCTTATTTATTGGGGATGCCACTCTCTAACTCTTTGAATATAACACCACTACCTTCATAAAAGGGGGATCAAAACCTGGGGAGACCGGAACTTGAAGGAGGAGAAGGAATCGAATCAGAGAGTTGCCTTGGATTTGATGGCTCACTGATAACTCGCACCCTCCAAAGTTGCTGACCACCGTATACCCCAACTCTTCAGCCACCATTGACCACCGACAACTGCCCTTACTCGTTGTCGTTGATGAAACCTATAGTGTAACAACACACCCCAAATATAGTGTAACAATTCACCCCAGATGCAATATAATGATTCACCCTAAATATAGTTTAATGATGTGCTCTGGATACGGTGCAACGATGCACCCTAAATGTAGTAAAATGACATATCCCCAATACGAGATAATGAATAATGTTGATCGAAGATTTGACGATAACTCATTTCATCAACTAATTACAATTATTGTATTTAGAATACGACGACTTTCTATGGACCCTTGTAGTTCTCTTCTTACACCATATGTCGACAAATAATGTCTCTATTGCAACCACCTACCAATACAACACGAACTACTACCCTGGTGGCAAATTACTGCTATTGTAGCTTTATATTATGAGCTATGTGATCAACTACGACCTATGTGGCTCACTACTCATGCAACGTCAAACTA